AGCACCAACACTCTAAATTGTACAGAGTTCTAACAACGCACCCATTTCCAACCTCCAACTCTGACCTTTCTCTGAAAGTCATGAAAGATGTGTATTCATTCTACTGCCTCACCAACAATCATGGTCTTAAAGTAATTGATAACTAGAAAGTATTTTAAAATTGAAGACGCTGTTTTTACGTCTCCAGAAGACGACAGGACTTCATTCGTACTTGCTTATCCCGGCCATGCAAAGGTAGAGCCATTTGCGGGACAAAGTACCCTAGGTACCAGAGGTTTTCTGTCGCGTGCGGCGGGAAGCTTCGGCGGCCGCAGGCCGACACATCTTTGGCCGAATGCCGAAGTCTCGAGCGGCGAAGCTTTTCGCGCGGATCACTATAAAGATTTGACCGAAACCGGAAAACCGCGCATTAAAAGTCTCTGGCACCCAGGGTAGCGATAAAGGCAATATCTTCTTTTTTCAGTTTTTGGTCCAGCCCCCTTGAGCCCACGACCTTGCACTGTGCAGTCCATTACTCTGCTGGCTAATAATTTGCAAAATTCAGCCTACAATTTTTGCAGTCCAGCAGCAGAAAAGAGTTAGTTCTGCGTTCATCCAGAATGCAAGCAATGCTTGTACTTAATGTAAAGTTCTGACGTAAGGCAGCTCGTAAATGTGCCCTATTTGAGTTTTTGAAATCCCAGGTCGATGCAACTCCTCTCCTAGGATGTCACTTTTTTCAAAGCCTTCGATGTCAGATTTTCAGCATGTCAGATAGCACTTACAAGCTTTCGCAGTATGGAACGAGTGTGAAAACGGCGAGTGAGACTGCTGTCGGTCTTGTAGCCTAGAAAAAGAGTTGATCATAGATTTACTTCAAAATCCTGAACTTCACAGATGTTCGATCGGCTCGGGGGCAAGAAGAAAGGATTTGTAACCAAGGATGATGTAAGAAGATTAAACCGTGATGAGATGAGAGCAATTGTTCTTGCAATTGAAGGAACGGATGTTAGCAACACAGAAGAGGCAGAGTATGGAGTCGTTGATCCAGGAGAAATTAGGTAAGAAAACACCGGCTAGCAATCAGCTTTCTTGCTATTGGAATAGGGGTGCGGGGACTAACATGTCCACCCATACTTGTATGACTAACATATGGGTTACTATGTGAAGCTTAACCCACGAGCAAGCTCTCATTTCGTGTGGCGAGTGAAGCGAGCGGCATTATCTTTTGTGTGCCTCTCGCGCATGATTTGTCGCAATATCTCGAAAATGAGTGGGGACTTTTTTTTTTTTGGCTTGTCCCAGTCGCTTTCATATTCACAAAGAGGAAGATCCAGGTGACGAGGTTAGGATTACTTTCGTAGATCTTTTGCTTGTGGAAATTTTTAAGTAAAACCAAGAATACCAAAGTCTCTTGGCAAAAATTATTATCAAAGGCTATGCCATACTCTTTGCAGGATGAAAGCAATTCTGAAGAACATCTTGCTCCCTAATAACTTTAGTCGTTAACTTCTGACAAAGGAACGCCTAAAGTTTTAGTCAATACTCAACTAAGAATCGCTACAATTTGTGCTATTGAAACCGCACTGGAATTACTAAATTAAAGGCAAGAGGAAAAACGAACTGGATTCGGCCGGCAGATGTAGTAAAATGATGTCGGGTAACTGCAAGATTTACTTAGTTTGATATTTCGAATAGAAGTCTCCGATTCACTTAGTACTTTTATTTAGACATGTACACACGTATTTTAAAGTGTGCGTGTAAACTATTTTTAGGAGCATACTTCAAAACCTTGTGGTTCGTGATGGACAAATATTTAAGGACGACTGGATTGAAACTTATATGGAGGTAAGACTCACAAATTGAACAAAAAATCCAGGTGAAAGTATAAAAGTATTTTTTTTAATGTAAAATGTGAAGATGTCATGGAATTTGTTAACAATCAGAGAGTTCCTTCTACGCCAATGTTTCCGGCAACTTGCCTTCGCTGTAGTATGTACAGAACAAGCTCATGATCTTGTTATGCAGCTGGATTTTTTTCCTCAACACCGCGGTCTTATATTGGTTACTTCGAGGTCACATGACATCTATTAATAAACCTGTTTCCCCCAAAAAGTTTCTGACAGGACAAGACTTCAAAGTTGCTAAACCTTCTTTTATTAATTGGTCATTGAAGCCTCAGAAAATAGTTGATAGTTTTAATGCATCAGTACATTGATGTTGCGCATGTACGTAATATAGTTGAGCCTTTTCGAAGAACTGTGAGGTCAGCAACGTAGAGAATGAAATCGTTTTTTATATGCAAAACAAGAATTCAATGTGTTTTATACGGAATAATCTCTTTTTTCTGTTATACAGGAAACAGGGGGAACAAAACACTTTGCAGAGATGGTAAGCAAAACTGCATATAACTAAGTCGTGACCAAACACCAATGAAATACCAGGTGAGCTTTCGCGCGAAAACTTGATATTTTCACGGGTGAAACTTCACATGTGAAAATATCACCGTTGCTATGGCTACATAATAGATCGCGCCTTTCACACCAAAAAGCTACTGGTTTGCTATTTCATTGGTGTTTATATATTAAATAGAACATTACATGGGCGCTTGGAGATACGAAATTTCTCTTCTCGTGTTGAAAAAATATTTCAGGAGTGAGCGTAGCGAACGAGTGAAGTATTTTTCAACACTCGAGAAGAAATTTCGTTTCTCCTAGCGGCCATGTCATATCCTCTATTTATTATCAATATCAATTATCATTATCGTCATCATCATCATTATCATCGTCATCATCATTATCATTATTAAATATGTTGAATTCATTTCTAAACAGTTTTTCAGTAAATTGCATGATGATACCAGTATATCAGACAAGGTCACCAAAGAGGAAATACAGAGAAACCTTGACCGTGCGTTACAGAGATATATGGACTGGCAACAAGAACCCGAGATTCCCCCGGGACAGGACAGCCCCGAACCGCAAGATGCTTACAGAGAAGACGACGAATACGACCGTGAAAAGGATGAAGAAGAGGACGATGAAGAGGATAATGAAGAGGTAGAAGCAACAGTGGAAACAAAACATGAAGAGCTATAAAGCGAATTTTGTTAAAACTACGAGTAACTGCAACCTTCTGCCCAGGGATTTTCTACACGGTCTCTTCCAAACGGAAAACCGACTAGGAGTACGAATCTGAGTACGAATACGACTACACGTAGAATTTGAAGCTTATTCATCCTCCAACTCTCTGCAGTTGTTGTTGAGCTATTAAAAAACGTTGAGGATAAGATTTGTGAGATAAGTAATTATACCAGGCCAATTAGTTGACTTGCAAATTCGTACACTTTTCTCAATCTCTTAGACGTAGTCCGATCTACAGAACACTATTAGTATAGCCTCCGAGAGGGTTCACTTGTGCGAATTCGCGGAAAATTTTGGCGGCGGAGCCGCCAAGCAGCAAAGAAAAGTGAATTTTCCCCGAATTAGCCCAAATGAACCTTCTCGCACGCTGCTGTTAGTATATTGTGTGGGATATAGCTTCCAGCCTGAAAAGGTATCGGGGGGTTCGAAAAACGAACGAAATCGTGCAACGGAGTAAAGTATTTATTAACTGTTAGTAGTTATAGAAATAGCAGGAAGTAACTATTTAAACTAAAAATACATTGCAAGAAATAATATATTTCATTATTTATTCAAATACAATAATTAGGCGTGACAATTTCTCTCTACGTACATTGTCATTTTGATACAAAAACTAATTACTATGCTTTCTGTGTGAGGTTTACCATCAACATTAAGTCATGTAACAGTCTTGCAGAGGATATTGAGAGTGAAGTGTTAATGTAAAGTCAGTTAACGATTAAATAAAGGAAGTTATTTGATCTTGTCGTCTAATTTATCGGACGTTCTCTGTTTAGTCGCGACTATTTCCTGTTTATTTATAACGAAACACTTAACTCAAGAAAACTTCTTATTCAAAATCATTACAATGATAATACTTCTCTTTTGAGAGAGAGATCGGTCTTTTATTGGGAAATGTTTTTGCAAAGCGCGACAATGGTAGAGAAGAAATTGTTGGTAAATGACAAAATAACAGCTTGTGTCAAACAAATATGTCTCCTGGGTGTTATATATAAAAATTCGAATAGAAAAATGTTGTCTGGTGAAGCATTTTGCTTTCTTGAACGTTTGCTATCAATTTTCAGATTTTTGTCCGGAACTTACCAGTGTTTTCAACGAGCTGCTAATTTGTCCACAACAACTTTCTTGGAATGTATTGTTATTTTCCTGTAATGTGATTGGTCAACTTTGTCTAAGTGGCCCCGGTTGCAGTAGTCCCGCTGTAATTCCCGTCTGCGATATCTGTCTAAATGACGAATTTGTGTTTTCAAATATTTTGTTCACATATGCATACGCACGCGTGCACGAGCATCTTTAAAATTTACCTCCGCCTGTACATAAAAATTACGCGTCAGTGGTATTTGTATACGTAATAGCATCATTAGTAGTGATATTTAGGATAAATTACCACGAGTGATATTTTAAAATTGTTGTACGTAATTTCACGAGCCGTTAGGCGAGTGGAATTTGAGACAATTTTGAAATATCAAAGTGGTATTTATGCTAAATATCACGTACAAATCATGCTATTATTTGTTTATACTACTACCCGCAAGAGGTTTGTAATTTTCACATGTAGGTATTTCAAATTAAGCTGAAATACCACTGCTCTAAGGCAATCAAATTGCAGAAATTTCTCATGTAGTAGTATAAATGAGGTTAACATTCATCGTTTCATCGTAATTCTGAGAAATATTCGAGGGCTTAATTCAAAGAATCAGATTTATTTTATAATACTGACTGCATTTAATGGTTAAGAGAGGGCGCGCGGATCATAATAAAATAGCTTTAATTAGCATTGTTACGTATCAAAATCGTATCATTTTCCTTTAAACAAGTGAATTCAGTTTCAGTTTCAGTTTCAGCTTCATCTTAGAAGGGTTCTATACTATCGCCGCGATGAGCGAAAGCGCTGAAGCAGGCAAGATAGTCACTCACCAGGAAATCATTACAGAAAGCGAGGATGAAGATAGCGATAGCTCGACAGACTTTGATCCAGAGGAAATTGAAAAGGAAATAATGGGTGTAAAAAGCATGTTAAGAAGGCATTGTGGCCGACATAAGGTGAGGAGGAGGATTGAGCATTTTCATTCACGTGGCCTGCAGCTATGCAAATTAATCGGAACAAAATGAAAAAAGTTTTTTTCGTTTGTTTTGAGATTGACTTATTGTACGGATTAGTTGTTTCTTGCTCTGCGATTGGTCAATTTTCGGTCCGTGACTACTGTGCGGACCAAGTTTTTATTGTTAAGGGCTGTTACGTCTTTTGTCAGACAGCTATTCCTTTTTATTGGTTTATTTCTTTTAAGGGAAGGTAGCCACATAACTGACACTCGCGTTTTTTTCGTTTCTTTTGGTGCATTATGTTCAACGAGCGCTATGTTTATTTCGGGCAAGGGTACATTGCCAAGTTCTAGGGACTCTAACCATTATACAAGTAGGTTAAAATATCATTTTTGACGCAATTTTATATTTAACAGAACGTGGCAAAGTTACAGAGTGAACATGCTAACTGGCTGAAAAACGAGGTAACACTGACAAATAAACCGTTAAACTTGGAAGGCTCTAGCACCACAGAGACAATACAGAAGGTCAACAGAGCAGAAGATAGGGAAAAAATTCGCCGAATGTCCATACCGTTCTCGTGTGATGTGGAAGAGACAGACCTTGACATATCTGTAACAAGCGGACAGCTCTCAAACGTGCATCAGGAGCTTCTACACCTGTTTGCAATTCATGATGTAAGTGTGGTTTAGAGGAAAAATCCATACTAGTGTAATGAAATTTTTCAAAAGCTTCTATCCGATAACACAGTAATCGACTTCTTAAAAGACAGATTAGTTTGAGATGGTATAGCCCGCTTCTTGTCAGTAGCATTTACAATCCATTTAAAATGAAATTAACCGACGTCCATTGTCCATTGATCTACCAAAATATCGAAGAAGAGGTAGAAATTAAAATGATTCCATCCTTTTCTGTTGTACCAGCCTCCATGTTTGCAGTTACTAGACTGCTGCTATTGGTGCGGGCACTCGGTTTTGAACCCCACCAGTCATGGACCTGGCCAATTGATGAGGATGGACTTGAGGGCTGTAAAGGTCTCACTACGAAATGCCCTCCCTACCCCACCCCACGACACAGCCCATGGGATGGTCAAAACTCAGGAGAGATTGTTTCAACGTCACTAGTGGTTCTTTTTCGCTGAGTGAGAGTTTAAATCTTAATTTTAAACTATTGGTGAAAAACTTTTTAAACAGCACCTCAGACGGTTAATTTGTCCCTATCCGTTAAGAAGAATAGGTGCCAGTTTGAAACGACGGTAGCACCTTTTCAGCTACTTTAAAAGTCTGAGTGCTCAGCCTTTCGGGAAGTGTCGACCTATAAGCCATCGCTTGCGAAATACGGGTACTCTAACAATTGAACTAACCATACTAAATAGAGTTAAGTTATTGATGTTTAAATTGTTGCTTACAGGCCAAATACCAAATGGAATGTGAGCAGGAACGACGAAGTGTTGAAAGTACAAAGAACCGTATGCACGAGGAGTTACTAAGTAACATGGCACGGCGCAAGGCGCGAGAAATATTTGAAATGGAAAGACAAAGAAAAATAGAAGAAATGAAAAGGCTAACCGAGACCGTGAGTGCAGAAAGCATTGCTATGGCCGAAACCAACGATCGACTGAGTCATGTGCATGAGGATTTGAAAAATGCTTTCAAGCGAATGAGGGTAAGTAGATGTTCCAACAATTGAAGTGCACCTACTAGATTTACAGTCAAACGGTACCCCATAGATTTCATCAATGATTTCATAATAAGCTGGTTTCATAACAAGTTCCATTGTGTTTCATAAGTATGTTTTAAGGCTGAGATAGTGCCACTGGGTGACAAAGGGAAAATATGCATTGCGTCTAATGTGCAATTATTTTCATCAGACTTATCAGTGTCAACGAGTGAACAAGCTTTAAGGCGCTTTTGAAAATTTTTCGAGTCTTTTAAAAAAATTGCTTCAAAGAAAGTCTTTCTTGCCCCATGATGACAATGCCGAGATGACGTTCTACGTCCACTATAAATTGATGACGTGTTCTTGTCTACTTATCTTTTCCAACATATTGGTTTGATTATCAATTTTTTCTGTTTTTACTTTTGCATTAAAGAAAAGCAATTTGCTAAAGAAATGAAGTCAAACTTGCCATTTTTGAACTTAAAAAAAAAACAAAACAAAAACAAAAAACAAAAAGACAAAAAAGAACAATAGAACCAAAGAATGAAAGAAAAAAATTAAGCCAAAATAAAATCGAAGCGTGAAGGCAAGCTTTACATTCTAGGTTGGTTGATGAGCAATGTTCTTTCCACTAGGATGCCAAAGCAGCTAAAGAAGACCAAGACCGCAAAAGAACGGAAGAATTAAAGGAGATGATGTTACAGGAGATAAGAAGGAGACCAACAGGTAGCGAGCTGGACGTAATGGAAAAAGAAAGGAAAAGAAGAGAGGAGTTATATCAAGTACAGCTGAATGAGCGAAGGCAATCACACGAGAATCTGCTGCAAGTTCAAGAACAATTACTGAAAATCTTCGCTAAACTTAAGGTTTGTTCAGAACGCGGTATTATTTTTTCCAGATTCTGTATTCACCATGGCACTTCCAGAGAGCATCTCTTTGTTTTCAATTAATGTAATCGCAGTCGAGAGATAATAGTGGGTTCCATATGAGTTGACGACCACCTTACGTCGGAGAAGCTGTAATGTGTAGAGTTAGAGGTGTAATGTGAGATCAATTTTGTGTGCGGAACAGTTAGGACATTCTCATTTTCAAAAATAAACAAGGAACCAATTCTTAGCCTGCCACGCGCCTCGTTCAGCCGCCTTTTTTGCAACCATGCATATTACTTTCATGCGCCTGGTACACAGGCTACCGATAAACCGAAGCGAGTAACTCTCGCGGGGCGTTTTCACATACCAGTGTATTAAGTTTTGGTGGTTTTTAGCCAAAATTTGTTGTATCACAAAAGCGTTTTGATTTCTATAATATACGCAGAGAGAAAAGAAGGTTAAAAAGATTGAAACGCGCCAACACCAAGAAGAAAATAAGGAACGTATGCAGGAGGAGCTGATACGAAGGTCTCTCCAGAGGGAGGTGTCCAAACTAGAGGCACAGGAAAAGGCCCGAAGGATCAAAGAATCGAAGAGTCATATTGGCGAGGGTGATGATGCTAAATCCAAGGCTATTGACATGTTGGTTGACGTCCAAAAACAGTTGCTGGATGTTTTTGCTGTATCCAAGGTTTGATTTCTAGTTTTTAAATTAACTATATTATATTAAACAATTAGGCTATGTTCGCACAATTATACCGGATAGCTTTTCGTGCCCACACGAAAAGCTATCCGGTATTGCATGAACGCTTATCCGACTCTCCACTATACAGATGGGCGTGGCGCGCCTTTGCTACGCCAATCCCGCAGAAATCACCGTTCTTATGTGGGAACAGTAGCCCTATCCGGTATGATAAAAGCTATCGCGTGAACATAACCTTTATAAATCTTGTTTGTTCATAATGTGTCACATTGTTGATGGGCTCCTGCCTTTATTGGAGAACACATAAATTGTGATGACTATGACTAATAGATCGGTTCAGCATTTTTTTTCTTACTTTAGTCCTTTCATTATCTGTTGCTTTATACCGCCATTTTTTTACTTCGGTATTTTACTTTTGCGACTAATTGTATTGCCTTGGTGCAAGCAAAGATATGGAATGAGCAAGCAGACCAGTTTTTTTATTATCATATTTTATTGCTATATTTTGTTTTGCTAAATGAATCCTTTCTTGACAACAGCTCCAGGACGTCAAACATCGAATGGACCAACTAAAGGTTATGAACTGTCGTCAAAATATGCTACAAGAAATCCGTAGCCGACGAGTGGACAGAGAAAACAGCAGCGGCATAACGTAGGTAGTACATGCGTGAACATAAAATAACATGCAGACCCACGGTTAAACGAGAAAGACCGTGGCGTTTTATTTGTCGTTTCCAGAGGCTGTGATTCTTTTGGTCAGCAGCACTACATGGATAACCGGCACGGAGCTTCTTTGAAATGCCCGCAATCTCGTATCCAGAGTCCTTGGGCTCTATGGTCAGCGGGTGGTCGCCAGGCGTAATTACTTCATATATGGTAATTATAATGTACCGATATAAAGCTTTCTATGAAGTACCTAACTTACGAAGGGACACCCGCTGACTAAGGAGCCCGAGGACTTTGCGCACGAAATTGAACTGTCCGTCATGTACATGAATAGCAGCTTTACAAGATACGCAGTAGGTGGTTTGCAGTTGATAAAAGAACTCACTTTTCACAAACTCATAGAGTTTTTGCTTAAACAGTCTAGTGAAAATTAACTTTTCTCACCATTTTTTAAAATTCGTATTATCTCAACAGACGTAAGTCTATTGTAGCTGTTCACAAGCCTGGAAGAAGACTGTCGTTAATTGGTGAAAAACTTCAGCATGAAGTTACTCATTCTCCCTCTCGTGATGTTAGTCAAAACTGAAATTGAAGAGTCACCTGATGTGAAATAAAACAGACAAAATAACTGGGTGGTTGTATCGTAATGGTTATAGCACAAAACAACACCTGATTTCACTAGCTTGATGTCCTAGATTAAGAATTGCTTGAAGTTTTGTTTGTTAAAATTGATTAAAAAATTAACACACTAATTCTCTTAAACTGAGTTGATCAATATAGTCCATACCATGTTGGTACAGACGTACTAACATTTTATAGTTATACTTATGCCCTGACCAATTATGCTTCCTATTATTTCCTTAACGTAACATCGCGCGTGCGTCGCGGTCTTTCATCAGTAAGTCCCGTTTGAAGAATGAAACACTCCGTTAATGGCAAGCCTAAATTAAACTCACGGATTCGTGGTTTCAATGTCACTAAAACCTACATGTAAATTTATAACGAAGTATAGCTGTTTATACATGAAATGCACAGAAACTAACCCAATGAGGTCAGCAATTTATTCTTCTGTAGTTTCAAAGAAACTTAAAAGTAAAAGCTTATACTGGAACACAAAGTGAAATCAAGTGTAAATGTTCGTCCTGAAAAAAATCCATGATCGAGTCATAGTTCTTTCCTTGACTGTAGTATTTAACTTGGGACGTTAATAATATCGTTATTGTAATCAGTTGTTTTAAAATGTTAGCGTCGTTCAGCTAGGTTAGGATTTTATGAGCCAGTCTACACCAGCCCGGAAATCCATCTTTCTCTCCAAAACCGCTAATCCAGCGTAAAATCCGAGGGGACACATGATATACAGCGCGAGGAACTCCCATGGCCCGGTGGGACAACTTATGTGATAACACATCAAAGTAGCAGGAGGTGTGCACATCGTTGATCAGAACAGTGCCACTACGGGTCACTGGGGCGTAAACACCTTTCTCATACACAATGCTGATATCTTGGACTGTAGCAGTTCTCATGTGGCCATTCTGTTTCACGTAAACTGTGTCTCCAATTTTGACATCCCTGGCGGGAATGGCTTGTGATATGCCCTTCTTTTCCACAAAGAGAAGATGGTCTTCGGTTATCTTCAAGTTGTTGTTTTTTGTTGTGGTGATGCTAAGGAATTCCTGCAGTTTGTCTTGTTCACGGTGAATGAAAGTGATGACCGGTTCTAGGCAAATGCTCCCTTTCGCAGCGACCTGAACTTTTTCGCCAGTCTTCAAAGAATGCATCTCTCTTTGCAAGCCGTACTTGTCGACAAATGTGGATGACCCTGGGAAACACCCGCCCTGGGCTGTAAATATCCACCAGCCCGCCTGGGCTTGAACTCTCTCTGTTGCCTCCCCACCAGATTCTTGAGACTCTTTTTCTGCTTGTTCTTCTCTTTTTTGTTTTTCTATCCCTTTCCTCTCTTTCTCTTTGGCATCAAATTTGACATTAACTTCCCTGAGTAACTTGTCATACTTAACTTTCTCCTCCTCACTAAGCTTTCCTTCCTTTAGCAGATCTTCAATTTGTCTCCTCTCTTTTTCCAGCTTTTCAAACTCCACAGTAAATCCACTGGAGTCCAAAGCTTTCTTGACGTGCTCATCGAGAACTTCTTTAGAAGCGTTAGTCAAACTGTTGATAAAAGGACTTTTTCGAAAATTCATTTTGTCGATAGTCTGAAAGAAAGCAGAAAAGTAATTTTATTTCGTTATTTCCATAGCTCTTAGGTAATGTCAGATAATAGTCAATTGTATTTTATATTAGGTAACGCTAGTTCCTTATTTTACGTCACTGCGTGACGTTTACTTATAGGTTGCATAGATAATATACATCACGTACTGATTTAAGGGAAACAAAGAACAATTTTGGCTAGATTTGGAGCTACGTATTACAATAGCGTTTAGCGAGCCAAGAATTAACCGCAGCATTATTGTTCAGTAGGCTCCCGATAACTCGAAACTTCAAGGGAAATCGAAAAAGAGAAAATAGAAAATAGAAAGAAAGAAAATAGCCGGGAGTAAGGAAAAGAACAGTTTTTACAGCACAGTGAACATTTTAATCACATTTAACAGTAGAAATGTTAAGTGAAATTAAAAGATACTTCTAGATTATAAATCAGAATGTAGCGTAACAAAATATTGTCTAAAAAGAGCATGCGTTTTACTGTTTTGAGAAGTAAAGCTAGCCGTTTCACGTTAGATTTGTGACAATCAACACCAGCCTCCACAAGTGAACTATACCGCCGACTCCTACAACACGTTAATGGGAAATTCAAAATTCAATGTTTCGGATCCCAGTACTGTTTTTTTTCACGACTTTTTAAAGCTTGCTAGCTTAATTGTCTAGAGCGCTGCCCCGGTATCGCAATCTTGAAGCTTTTTTTTCACAACTGCATAATGGTCGAGCCTTTAACTGCGATGATCGTCTCTACATTTATTATGATTATTATTATCCTGTTATGAGAGATTTTTCTATTTTGTGTGTGCTTTTTTATTTTTCCGAATCTCTCGGAAAATCATTTCGTTTAGCTTTTTGTATAACCGTACTAATAATTCTGTTATCATTCCTAAACGGCTAGCAGCGCTATCCCGAGTTCAAATAGCCATTCAGTCGACAATCAGAATGCACTGATTTGGAACATATCGCTTAGATTCATAACAAAGCCCCGCAAATATAGAACGCTATTTACCTCAATAAGATGAGTCAATTGCTTTTTAAAGCCCACAGGATCTTTATCTTCCCTCAGCCTGTTGTCAAACAGTACCACTCGACCACTAATGTCGTTGATATAGTCTTGCACCCAATGTGGCAATGTGCGAATCCACCGCCAAATGCATTCTTCTACTCTTATGTTTTCGTCTTCTGCGTCCAACTTCGCCTGGTCACCATATGTAAGAATAAGAATCAAGTACTCTTTAGATCTACTGCCCAGAAAGTTGATCAGGAGCCGTAATGCTTGTCTACATTCGTCTGTGAATCGAGAACCATACTTCACAACGTGCAGGATAGCATCAAATCCAGTCGGAGCCAGTGCAAAAATTCTGTACACTTCTTTCCAAATCTGTTTTTTGGCGTGTCTTGTTCCGCTTGTAAGAGGCACAGTTTTCAGCCTTTCAACTGTGAAGGAATCTAGAAGGCCTGGGGTGTCTATCACGGAAATGTGACGCTCGAGGGTTCTGGTTCCATAGGCACATTGCTGTGTTCGAGAAGAAGGATCCAGCGTAGACCGAAAGCAATTTTTCCCAATGATTGTGTTTCCTGTCGCGCTTTTTCCATTGCCGGTCTTCCCGAGGAGAACAACAGTGAGGTCTTTTCCACTTGGAAGCTACAGTAGAAAAGGCAGTATATTAGTTATAATGACAAGTCATCTGGCCCGGGGGGGATTAGACCAATATCTGGGTAAAGGTTTGAAACCCTGACCCTGTCTAGGACAAAAAAAGGCTAACATTTAGGACAACACCCTCAATTTAATTACTCTGTTTAGGCCAAACGACCACACCATGGTAAAATGGTACGAGGTATTTGCTGTATTGCACCCTGCCCAAGCACCATTTTGATACGTGGCCTTAACAGGATCATTTATGGGTATCCAAAGCAGCGGACTACTAACAGAAAACGTGTGCAGACGGGGACCCGGTGCTCAGTTCCCGAGGTTAAGGTCTGTTATAACTTTGTTTGAATTTGTTCATTTGGCATCGCTCTTTTGCAAAGAACGGAATGTGCAATCAAAAGTACCATAATGTAGTGATACATACAAAAGGATTTTTTTCTATTCTATTCTATTGTGTTCGTGCCAAATTTCTCAGCTTTGGCACATGCTATGAATGGGCGAAATATGGCTTTGTATAAAAATCACAGATGGTCGACTGATTCCTAAAAGAATTTTCTTGAACATTTCTTAATATAACCTACCTTTATGTTAGTTGTTTGAAGCTGCAAAAAAATGAACAAAAATGTAAAATCATCATGACTACTACACTGTTAAACCCTAGATTAGAACCACCTTTAGTCGTAAAATATCACAGCGTTATTACGACCAGTTGTTTCCTTTCCCGAATAAAAGTTTACTGATTTTGTTATTTATTTACATCCTCGTAAATACGGCCACCACTTTATCTCGATCAAAGATCATCTTTTGGAGATCCCGGCCGTTATCTTCTTCTGTTGAGATCCATTAGCAAGCGAGAAAGACAATTGATCTTACCAGCAGTCAGAAATGTGAAAGTTGTTGAAGGTGCGTAGATCAAAACAGCATGCAGACAGTGAGGGCAGAAGAAAGTAGGAAATCATTTGAAATAAATCACAAGGAAAGAAGTGTTTTCTATTATTTCAATTAATAATAGGGACCTTAAGATCCGAGGACTGTGGCTGAAACGTCGCTTGAAATGTGAATTCGCGTTCTTTCAATTTTCATTGTGGTTATTCCAATTTACTTAATTTTTTGATATCTGAAGTTTACTGATCTTCATAAGTTACAAATTAAATTAAATTAAAACATATAATCCTCTGCTCTCAAATAGCTTAGCTAATCGAGGCGGGTAGAGGAAACAAAGTAATTTACTAAGAAGAAATTAAGCAGAAGAAAGAAAAAGGATGATAGATCTATATAAATGACACAAGAAGATTTACTGAAGTTATTACAATACAACGATACAAAATAACAAACATATTTTACATTTCTTGTCATCTTGCTTAGTTTATTAATCAAAGTAGGTGTGTCAACTTAAGTATCCTCTAATTCTAAAATATGTAAAAGGAGCTGATGTAAAGAAGCGTTAAATTTGTGTTTAGGAAGTACTCGGACACTTTGAGGAATACTGTTCCAAATTCTTGGACCAAATCTAGGAAACGAATATTTTAAATGATTTGCCTTGGAATATTTAATGTAAAGATTACCAGTCTCTGAAAACCTAGTTTTGTAGCTATGCACTTGTGAAGGTTCAAGAAATAAGTTAGAACTATTTTCCGGCAAACAATTGTTAGAGACTTCATGCATAATAATGGAAGAAACTGACTTGCACTGTACCGAAAGTTAAGCGGGAGGATATTTAGTACTTCCAACTGACTCTGATTTAGAAACTATAGAACCACCAGCTCAGTTATTTCAAATACATACCTGCACTTTTCACTGTTAGGGTCCATTAGTCTCAGGGAAAATGGTCTTAAAATTAAAGTATAGGTGGTTTTCATGCAATCTCGGGAGACACAAATAACAATGGTGAAATGAACAAATGCTGGTGGACAAACAAAGCGAGCTAATGAGCGATCTTTTGTTTACCGTCCACCAGCATGGCGGCAATGACGTAACGTGATAACCACCCATACTGAAATATTATTTTTACATAAGCTCGGATTCCTTTGTTCTCTTCGGGGAGAATATATTACATAACCCCCGAATCAACTGTCTGAAAAGCTAGGTGCGGCTTTGATTGTTTGAAGGGAAGAGCGGGGCTAATGAACAGCTAATTAAAATGCGAGGGGATTATGTATTATTATTATATAGACACGAGTGTTTTACAGGAAAATACCACTCGTGAAATTCATAAAAACTACATCCGGGACCCGAGTGGTTTATTTTCCATAATCTCACACGCGAGTTTATCGATGACGTAATTTCGGTCATTTCCCTCTATTATTTTATCGATGTCTTTTTGTCTATATAATAAAAAGAACATTACAATGGCGGCTTGAAGATATGAATTTTATTTTCTCGTGGCAAAAACAATATTTTACTCACTCGCTGCGCTCGTTCGTAAAATATTGTTTTGCCACTCGAAAATAAAATTCATATCTTCGCGCCACCGTGTAATATCCTCTATATATGCAAGGGGGATAAGTGACTTAGACCCTTTTTACATGGAGTGGGGGACCCCGGTTTGGTGGGGTAGGTTTCTTTTGTTTTGTGTTCCCCAAAGCGTGACAACAAAAGAAACCAACCTCACTAGACCGGGGTCCCCCACTCCATGTAAACAGGCCCTTATCCCCCTTGCAGATTAATACATAATCCCCTCACATTTTAATTAACTTTTCATAAAGAACGAATTTACAAATTTATATGCTTATTGGAAATATTAAACACGACGCTACAATTACTAAAATTAAACTGAACTCCGTTTCTTTTGCGCCACATTTACGGATTTTCTTAGTTGGTGGTTCATCGATTTCCGAAATTGAACAGTGTCTTTAAAATTCTACGGTTCCAGGAAAGTGTCACTGTTATCATGGTAAGGTGTTCCGTTCTTTAACCAGTCATCCCAAACTCCTGTACTCCATGAAGACATGTTAGTTGACCTCTTTGTGTTTTGTGGTATTCTTGCTTTATTCCTCGCCTAAATTTCCTTGTCAGTTCCAGTAGTGATCCCTCGCCCGGAATCTTCTTTATCTGTAAACATGCAGGTCGGTCGAAAGATCCTCCGTGCGAAAACTGAAATTGTGAACTGCTTGCTCGTTGTCTGCACCCGCAAATGAAGATTCAAAATTGTTTTCCGAAAGCTCAATTGCAGTACCGCCACTAAAGCTGCTTTAGTTTGGATAATAAACGGCTCTACTTCTGACTCTGAATCGCTCGACACTGCTTGGCTCTTTCCTTTGGCCCTTTTTTAGGCTGTTTCTAACATTCACTACGAGCAACTAATTCGAAATGCGACTTAAACTAACATGATTAAAAAGCCGAGAAACTTGTGAATGCAGACAGTGCCAGCATGGAGTGTTAAAAAACAAAAAAAGATGAACAATAGAGGCATTTTTCGTCGTTGTATTTTTGCATCCCTTGAGGAATCGTCGCCAATGTAAAAATAACCCGTTTATCGGCCTTCAGCTCGTGGTTATGTGATTTATTCCTCTTGCTCGGGCAACGCACGAGGGGAATAAATCACATAACCCCTCGCTTCAGGCCGATAACCCTTACTTAAGTACATTTAAGTTGGCGCGTAGCTTAAAAAAAACTTATACACACCTTTTCCCGTTTTTTCGTTAACATTTCCTTCCAGCATGTTGCAAATTTTTTTCCGTAGTAAATTCCATCCAAGGCGTTCCCGTACTTCTCTAGACATTCTTCAACTTTTTCTTCATCTAGGCTGGATATAGCAGAGCGGAACGTACACAGGGTCTTGGTAACAACAGAATTGAACTTTTTCATGTCGCTGTCTAGCACTCCCCCTTTATCCTTGTACTCTGACACAAGTCTCTGTGCCTCATAAAGATCGTCAAAGCAGCTCTTTATTTCATCGATGTCGCATTCCATCACTTGGACGCTTGAAACTTTATCTAATGCTGGGTAAACACTTTCTTTTGGTTGAAGTTCAATCTAAAACAAAACCAAATACATCACAGTTGTAAAATTTATAGTTTGTAGTATAATACTTGATCACTGAAACGTCGCCCTCGAATAAACACCGTATCAAAGTACTAAAATTTTAACGCGGCTTTTAATCGTTTAAATACGGTATTTTAATCGCTGAAGCAAGTCTAGCAAGAAACATGTCTCTAACACCTCCTGTTAAATGAACGTAAATTTCCCGTGTAAAAGGGAGCGTAAGCAACAACGATGGCGACGGTTATGAAAACGTCACTTAAAAACATTTTGTTAAAAAGTGAAGTCGGGGTGCGTCAAACTTTACCGCCCTTACTGGATCCATCTTGTTCAATTCGTCAAATGTTGGCAAACTTGAATTCTAAAAGACTGAATCGAATTTCAGGAAAAGTAAGAGAAAATCGTTGTCTTTTGTTCACGTCCCCCAGGCTAAAGACGTTAAAGTGGTCTAGACGTATTTAACGTCTGAGACGTTAAAGTCGACTGGGGTAAAAATGGGACACATGAAAGTGGACGATAACATTGAAAGAAAGCCCGGAGTGCTCTGAAAAAAAAAACAACAACAACGCTGACTCTTCCCAGTCGTCTCTGGACGAGTTGGACATAAATGCGTCCCAATTTATAGCATCCTGTTTTACTTAACAGAAGACGTTAACGTCGTCAGACGTTTAAATGCGTCTCTCTTAATTACCGTTTTTATACTAGACGTTAAAGCCGTCTTAAGACGACTTTAACGTTTCTAGCATAAAAACGGCCATTTTCACGTCGTAGTCGTGCAGTGACCGCAAAAGAAATGTAGAAAAAAAGCGTGATGCACGTGCAGAATTGCTGTTTTGCCAATCTAACCCTATTGCTTTTTTGCTGTTCTTAAGTTCCCTACTATGGCTGCCAGCAAGACCACTTTATGGGATCATAGATCAAAAGCGTTTATAGTAGAGCACAACTTATTTAGGTCATCCAGATAAGAACTCGATATTTGCACCCATTATTATCGTTGTCATTATTATAAAAACTTAGATTGACCACTCTTTCAAAACGCAATAAAAATATACCTTAATAGAAACTCCCAGCCCGTTATTAATTGTTTTCAATCTGGATGGGAACTCTTGAATAAGTTTTACAAGATCTTCCACGTTCGTAGGATTTTTATCAGGTAGATCTGTGGCATAGTACTCAATGGACAAATAGCCTTCGTTAACGCCACCAAAAGTTAGCTTTTTTAACTGGGCCTCTAATCCGGTAGTCACATCTCGTAGAGTATCCAGACCTCCATCCGCTTTACCATCTAGTTCCATATCTATTAACAAGACGCTGTGGGAGCGTATATTTGGGCATGGTCGTAAAATGGGTATGATATTTTGAACATGCCTTGTTGCAGCTAAAGAACTGTCATCATACCTTACCAGAGAAGACAAATCCTTTACTCCACTTGTTTGCTGAACCACACAGCTTATACAGTATGTCCCAATCCACAACAAAAATAGTGTCATTTCATGACAATGTTTGAAAATATGCACATCTTCGATGCAGACATGCTTGGAGCCAAATTGCAACATAGGACATAAGTGATTATAGCCCAGAGAGTAAGGTTTATATCAGCTCCACTGATACTGACAGATTTTTCACACCCATCACATTGTACAGTGTATTCCGGTTACTAACAAGGGCAAATAAAGTTCCTTACATCCAGTATCCACAAGAATTATTAAGCGAGTAACACATTGCATAAACTGCTATAGGGCAGCACTGTTTACAGGAACATTGGTAACTATTAACATTTGATATACTACAATGTTCAACATTGCTTGAAAATTGATGAGCTTCAAAGGTGGTAGCCTGTGAACAGGCCTTTGGTATTTTTTTCCCCAAAAAGAACCGACAGCCTGTTCACAGGCTATAAAGGTGGCAATATGTACACCTTTAAGTTCATATATATATATAATTATATCCTCACTCATATGTAGAGCCGTCTGAAAATATTGTACTAATTTATGCATGGATGGTATTTCCAACAATACACATGTCCCTTCACTATGACTGTTATGATACATATCTCTAGCATGAGAATAGTAGAGTCTGAAAATATTGTACTAATTTATGCATGGATGGTATTTCCAACAATACACATGTCCCTTCACTATGACTGTTATGATACATATCTCTAGCATGAGAATCAAATACATTATATCCCCCAGCCTCAATGCTGTAGATACCAACACCAATAATTGCCACTGTTAAAATGAATGAGTTGTAGTTCAGTGCCAAGAGTGTTTCAAATGCAGTACCCTGTGAGTGGCATATACAGTAGTGATGGATGTTACAAGTATAACTGTCACTGTATTCAAGGTGGAAAAATTGCTCCAACACTGTAAATATTCCTGGCAATTCTGTTAACATTAACACAGATTGTTTTGCAAGCAGTGACAGACTAGAATATAATTAAATACCAACAATCATTATTTGAGTCATATCATGAACTGAAGTAATCTTTGTTATCTTACTGTAAATTAAAGCGAACAGACTCATTGCGACACATTGTTGTCCAGCATTTTCCCCAAATACTGTAACATTTCCTTGACAGTATGGAGCATTAATTGTTTTTGTAGCATCTAGATAAACTGAAAGTCCTGGATTCTTCTCTATATCAGTACAAAGCTTAAAATTGGCCAAAATTAACTGGTGATTCAAACTGTTGTAAGCATTATAAAATGGATAATTGCATGTACAGAGGGGCAAATTCTTACTTAAAAGCCTATTTGGATATCTCATTCCACCTAAATCGTCTATGCTTTGATGCTTAGACGACAGATACACCTTCCCTCGTTTACGAACTAGTTTTGGAGTTGCCCCTTAAGTAAAAACCTCACACTGTTACAGTTACTTCTAAACCGGTTTAAGTGTAAACCTTTTCTATTTTTAACGTAACAATGAATTTCAGACGACAATGGTGTATTTTTCCGAATACTCTTGCACACAAAAAGTGTCACTTTCCGTGTTTTAATTTGTTCATCGGTAGTCTGCTAGGTGCATGACGGTAACTGGTCATTTCGTTCCATGGTCAGATCGTTCCATAAAATAGTCAGTTCGTTCCACAAAAAACTGGGTTTGAAAACTGTCATACTTTTTTCCGAGCTATTATTGCAGAATTGAGTAGACTGCACTCCTACAACGACTCGATTTCTTTTTCTTTCTAGTATTTACTTGTTTTCAATTTTAGTCCCAAGTAGCATGCACCTACCTCAGAATCATCTGGGCTTGTGTCAGTTGGAGGTGAAGCTGCTTCTTGATCTAGTTCAGTTAAAGGTGACACGCTGCTGTTGATTGCTAACACAGAATAAAATAACAAATATACGCATTGAATTCATCTTTTGTGAATGCACTGTTAAAGAAAATGCTCACAGCGAGGGACAATTACTGCATTACTGCACATGAACGTGAACGTCAACTAACAGCCACCTCTCTTGTGGTCATAATATAGTTTACTTGCTGAACTAAACGTTAACAACTTCTTTTTTATGACATGCTAAATGTTATTTCCATTACTATTTTATGCATTATCATTAATTTATCTGTTCTTTTAGTGCAAACTGTTTTAGGGAAGTAACCAACCATACCATACCACAAAACGTCACAAGAAAAGCAACCTGATTGGCAGCGGTTCCATACATTGAATTGTTCCATTATCTCGATTGAATTCTCTAAGATGACCGCTTTATTAATACATGTACATGTATAATTATGAGCGCATTGCTATAGCAGAGAATTATCTCAATTTTTTGTCCAAAGATAATTAATAAATGAAATGATATGTGTGCACAGAAGAACAAAGAAAAAGAATTCAGAGTTCCAGATGGGAATTGAACCCACGACCTTCCGTACACTAGAGGAAATTGTGCTAAACCAACTCACCCGACTTCTCCATAACAGCTTTCTTGCAAGTAAAATAGCCTTCCTCCTCAATAATAGTCTTTAATTTGAGTGTCACCAAGTTGATTTCTTTCTTCATATCATCAGTTACCGAAAACCTCTCTGCAGCTTCATTCAGGACACCAGAACAATAATCATTCCACAGACTTTCAAGACTTTGCAGGTCAGGACACTGACCCTTTATTACCAAAGATTCCACACCCACAGACATTAAAGTAAACTTGTAAGTATTTTCTACTTGTTTAATGAAGTCACTCAGTCCGCTGGCTGTAGAAAGCTTGTTTCTTTTATTGTATTCCAAGTACGCTTTAAGTTGTTGTCTTAACATTCTATCCACGACATCCTCCAGTTCTCTACTTAAATCACGTGGGGTGATTGACATCTTAACAGTGTTTGCTGCTTCTGAAAATCATTGATTAAAAGCGTATTACAGGGGCACCCAACGACTGTTTTCTGTAAAATATCTGTTCGGAGAAGTAAATAGTGCCTAGAATTTTCTACTACTTATAAGTAATAAGGACGGCTAAAAATTTCTAGACGACCGCTCCGTTCGCGTAGAATTTTCTAAGCTCAACCAATAAATTCCCTACGACTTTCTGAGGTTTACTTTTTCACATTTCACTCTCCAGGTTTGGCTATTTTTCATAGAAAAAAGGAAACCCAACATTTTCGGATGTGATGGAAAGAGGAATCAGAAAAATTCTCTCCTTGGTAATACGTAAAATTGAATGTAATACTGAATCCCTCGTAATTCGAAAAGACTCAAGTTCCCCAAGGATGACCGAACAGATAAAAATTTTATAGCGCCGCTTAGAATGCGTTTTTAGATATCTGAAAGTACTCTGGATAGCCCAAAAGTGTTTTCAGTATATTTAGAAGGAAACCGTCGTCGGGTGCCCCTGATGCAAGTTAATTACTGCTTCTTATTACAATTCAAGGAAAAAATAAGCTTTACATTTTCTAATGTATAAGGAAACTCAGTGAGGCTCCTCAGCTCATTGTTTGAAAAAGCTTTGACATAAACAGAGCATTCTTCTAGCTATTCACCACTTTCACATATATCTTACACGCATCTTGTTTATCCCCCCCACCCCCTCAATTTCTCCTGGGTATTACACTCGTCCCAAGAGAAATCGAAGACAATGGTTATGCAAAATTTTGGGAAGTAACCAAGGTGCGTGGTCTATCTGAAAATGGTGAATAGCGGAGAGACAAAAATAAAAAAAGTTACTTTTTAAATGGGCCAAAACATTCTAAAGAGTTTATTAAAACAAGCCACTAAAACACGCAAAAAAAAGTTTGGCACCTTGTCAATGTAATTCAATTCCATACCTTGGTCAGAAGTGAGCCCTGAAATGCTAGGAGTATGGCAAGTTGAGGGAGATTCTCCACCTAATCTGACTGAATCCTCAGTTTTAGGCTGTTCATCAACTGGACATTGCTCTTCTGAGAATCCAGAAGCTAAAGCATGTGTTTTTGTAATGGGCTGCCTTTCAGTGACAGAAACATCCTTTGGTATATCAGAAGCATCTGGTGTGAGAACAAGCGTTTATTACACGACAAGCTTCTTACAAAATAATGTACATATGTTTTTGTAACCCATTTACATCTCCACCACCCATAACCACTCGTGTAGTACCATGTCCCATGTAACACTAAAAATAAATTCTGACGGTCACACTGACAATTGTGACTCTTAAATGTGGTGGAGACCCTTATTCTACACATTACCGATCTTTTCATGCATTGACAACTTCCAATACAACTTTAAAAGGTGTGCACAAAACATTTAAGCTCAAGAGGCAATAATTAAAAAAACTGAAGTGAATTTGATGGTAAAAACATCATAACTTTTTAAAGTACTATAAATCCATTTTAAGATTACATTTCAAAAGGGTATAATCCTAGCTACATGGTCAAACAGTCAGCTCTATCAAGCTTTGAGCTACATTATTATAAAGGAAATATCAAAATTTCAAGTAGCCAATTTAATTTGCATGTTTGTCACTTAATTCCCAACACAAAACTGACTGTCTTTGTATGTTTTCCTTCAGTGGAAGTTTAAAAATAACAACACTTAAGTTAAAATATGGCTACATGGCCTCCCCCCACCGTAAAAGATTTGAAGGTGTAAGATTTCTTAAGGGAAGTAACTGAATCTACTAGGTAAGGATTGTAAAGAGGTACATTATTTTATACGTCTTGGCCATACTTATCTNATCCTAGCTACATGGTCAAACAGTCAGCTCTATCAAGCTTTGAGCTACATTATTATAAAGGAAATATCAAAATTTCAAGTAGCCAATTTAATTTGCATGTTTGTCACTTAATTCCCAACACAAAACTGACTGTCTTTGTATGTTTTCCTTCAGTGGAAGTTTAAAAATAACAACACTTAAGTTAAAATATGGCTACATGGCCTCCCCCCACCGTAAAAGATTTGAAGGTGTAAGATTTCTTAAGGGAAGTAACTGAATCTACTAGGTAAGGATTGTAAAGAGGTACATTATTTTATACGTCTTGGCCATACTTATCTAGCTATCAGTGAAACGGTTAAATATTCTGAGATTATGTTCGTGTAGTAAATTTACAAAGAAAACTAAAGAACCTGCATGTACACTCGACAATGCAGTGATCAATGAACAAAATGCATTCAGTGTTTGTGAGTGCACTGCACTCGTACATTTGCATATTATGTTGTGTCATGAAAACTATACTAGTGTGATGTCTGGTACAACATGAATACTACATCAGCACTTAACAAGTAACTCTTACCATGACCCATTCTCCGCATTCTGTTCACAAGGGTTTCACATTGCTCCTCCCAACTGTATTTCTCCCCATAAGATGCTCTCAGTGATTTAATTTCTTGAAGCCTCATTCCATGCCTTAAACGAACAGCTTCTATTGCTTTTGCCCATTCTGCAGGATCATCTGAATTCACAATGCATGTATTGCCATGAAGAACATTCTCTAATGCTTTGGCAAATCCTGACCTACTGCCTACAAGAATGGGTAGTCCCGAAGACAAGGCCTCAAGTGCGACAAGACCAAATCCCTCTGATTTTGATGGCATTATGGCAAGGTCAGCTTCGCAGAGCAAATCTTTCAGTCTCTCTCTACTTTGTATAAATTTTCTAACAGTCAACTGTGCTTCCACAATACCATGCTGAAGAAGTTTTTCTCTAACTTCTTCTTGCTTTCCTTCAGGTGCTCCAACAAAGATTAGACGATAGGGTTTGTTATTCAACCGTTGATCAGTAAACGCGTGAGCAGCAATGTTGTATCCTTTGAGTTCAAAGTCCTCATCATCCCCACGACCAAATAACAACACTTTAAATTCACCATCCTCATTAGGGTTTTGTTTTGCCACTAAATCCCCAAACTCCCTTTGAAAAAGGCCTGGAGTAATTGACAAAAGGTCTTGATCTGTCTTGCATCGCTGTAAATATGAAGAGTATGCTTCTTTTAGTTTGGGTCCCACAGGCACAATAAGATCAGCAAGTTTGCAAAGCCCAACTTCTGATTCGTGTTTTGTTTCACCTTTTGAAATGGGGTCACTGTAGGATTTGAAACTGCTCAGGTCCTCTGGAGCAGTGTGAACCACTTGTACCCACTTACAATTTGAAAATTGAGCAGAATCTCTAATGAATTGTACTTGCCGACCAAGTTTAACACCATGGCCAACAACGATGTCCATGAAGTGGTCCTGGGGTGGGTTGCTCAACCAATCAAGACGATCATATGCTGCACGTTCCTTCGCCTGAACAATAGTGATTCCATAGCCACCTGCTTCTTTTTTTTCTTCAGAGTTGCAAGCTCCCTCTGGGACTAGTAAAGAAATCTTCACCGCTGAATGTTTTGAAAGGTGAATAGCAAGCTCTCTGTTTATGGTTGACAACCCACCAGCAGATGAACCCCACTCACCACCTAGAAGAGTAACATGTAATGCTGGAACACTGGGGTCACCATAGCAAGCCTACAATAACAAGGACAATAAAATAATTTAATAATAGTAAGAACATAAATGTAAACTGTTGGTACTTCTGTTCAAGAACCACGCCCACTTAATTTGCTTCAGTCTTTTACAATAAAAAATTATGATAATTAATTGTTTAATCTAATTCTTCACATTGATCCCTGGTCATCTTAAATTAAAACTAATAAGAAAATAATTAACAATAAAAATGATAACTAATAAAAATAAAAGAAAACAAAGTAATAGCAATAATTTATACAAAAATTTGTTTTCACTGACTATACGGATTAAAAGTTGATACAATGACGCAAACTTCAATTAAGGTGTATACATATGTGATCATGGAGGTAAATCGAAGTTATTCACCAAACAAACAAGGCATTACCATAAATTTTTTTTGGATCTTGTGAACTAAAAGCACCCTTATATATCTAGCCGAATTTTTGAAAACATACCTCAAAACGGGCCAGAATATTCGCACAGGAACCTGGCGATAGCCAGGTTACTGGTCACTGCGGTGAGAAAAAACATAGGGGGCTTGCTGTCCTGGTTGGTCTCATTGTCAAGCTCAGTCCCTGAGGTAACTCACCATGGGTTGGAAAGGGGCCTCCATGTCAATCCCTAGGGGGAGAGGGTACTGCAAATGCCTGGTACCTTCCGTTAGTCTTGCTCTGTGCTGGGAGAGTCAGTGCACTGGTCATGTGTGCCTTTAGTTTGTCATGTCAAATTCTTGTTATGTTTGAGGCCCATTGGCCAATGAAAGCAGGGGGGGTGGAGGAAGTCAGAGGGGGGGGGGTGATTTAACCTTGAATTCTCTGCTTAGAACTTGGTTAAGTCTCAAGCATCTTCCGTCATTTAGGGCCTTTAAGCAGCTAGAGTGTATGGCCAAGGCCAGAGTGTCTTTTTGATGGACTTCAATGTTTCTTTTGCTAATCAGGAACCAAGAAGAGAGTCACCGTAAGAGAACCATGGGTAAGAGCTGAGTTTATAGGCGATATTTACTTTAGTTGAGTCAGTTTAAGGTGTGTGGGGTCAAGGAGTCCGATGGTACGGTTTTCATAAATCAGGCAAGATATATATATATATGTCAACATATTGGCCGACGACTGTCAAGTCAACATGTTGACCAAGCCTTTTTTGAAATAATGGTTAATATTAGTCAACATGACAACCATATCAGTCAACAAATGCCAGCTGACATGACAACAGCACAGTATAATATTCATGAAGAAAGTATAACTTTTTGTAACAATAAATAAAAAAAAGAATTAACCTCTGAATTGTCCAGACTCCTTGTTGCTTTCATGACCTCAAGCTAATGAGATATGTCCAGGTTTGCATGCAGTTGCAAAAATTACAAAAACTTTGAAAATTCACTGCATTAGTGAAAAGCAGTAAACATGGAGGTAAGGAAGACCTCAGCTAAATCTGTGATGTTTGTGAAAACTGCAAATGAGAAAAAAAATAAAAAATTTCAGCAAAATTCAGAAATTTGCTGAAGAGTGTAAAGCAGTGAAAGACAGAGATGCCAACCTCTGAAGACCTAAAATCAGGAGACTGTCTTTTTTTCACTACCCCTCCCCACCGCAGTTTCAACGAACCCCCCCTTCCCCCCGCCGAAAATTGACCCAGCCCCCAATGGGAATGACTTAGGACATTATATGACGTCTTACATAATGTACATACTATCAAAATTCGAAATCATCGTATTGATGCTAGAAATAATCTTTGTCAATGACTAAATAGCGCAAAAATGTCCCAGAAACTATACTACCAATAAGAAAAATTCAATTTTTGAGCTAAAAATGGGCTAAATCTCAAGCAACGTCTGTTTATTTTTTACCAAGTATTCAATATTTATAGTGGACGTAAAAAGCGGGAGATTTATATACCAAAGCGGGAGAGTGGGAGACGAGGCAAAAAAGCGTAAGTCTCCCCACAGGGAGCCCGCACAATCTGTTTGTTTAGCCGATTGTTATTTTATAGTAAATGTTCTGGATCGAAAGGTACGAGGAGAAACATGAATCTTTCTATCTTTTTGCTACGGAGTTTGAAACCGGAGCAATGCGATTTCGGGGGGAAAAAATCGCTCCGGCACTGGAGCCCTTTCAAGACATGGATTCCACCCTTGTCCCTCTATTATAAGGAACAGTCAACGGCGAAATCCAACTCCTTCAAAATCGCTCAAAAAAACGCTTTTGAGGTAAAACGACGACTATATACCACAGGTAAGGTAATTCAACGTTTATTTATCATTGATTTATATACATAGTTAGCGATATATTGCTATAGGTGAAGCAAACGGTAAATCCAGTACATGTACTAAAAAAACAATCGGCTTCACAAACAGATTGTGTGGGCTCCCTGTGGTCTCCCGCCAAAAGCGGGAGAGTTGGCATCACTGGAAAGAGGAGTTTGAGAAGGCCTTGACAAAACCTGAGATTTTTGTGAAACTTGCAAAAAATTGGGCAAATATGAGATAGATAATTTCAAAGGTGCTCCATTAGTCTCTGTTTTACAGCCAGACTAAGTGTGAAGCCATTGATATATTAAATATATTTTTCGATATTCACTAACACTTTCTTTCACTAAGCCTCGTTTTGAAAGCAACAATTTATATTTTGAAACTCACAGCAGTCCTATAGTATTTTACTGAGCCATCATATGTAGTGGGTGAACCATTTCAATGCAGGGGGAGTGGGGAGGGGGAGGGGGAGGGTTGTTGGGGATGTGGCTGGGAATTGAGTTAGTTGGTAAAGAATCAGTGTGTAATGTTGCATTATTCCCACTTACAATTTCATTGAAATGCCTTTGGCAGGCATTAAATGACCATTGAAGAATAAAAAAGTTTGTTTATTATTTTAAAATACATAAGCTTACTGTGTAAAACTTGATGCCAGTTCAATCAGTGTTCAAAGCCGGAAGTGGGTTGATCGTTTGACTTTCTCGTCAAAAACATCAACTCTTTTCACCTTGGTTAGGCTGGTTAACGTCACAGTTTCGATTTTTTTTATTACAGTTTTCTCCAATGGTCAGTGCTTAACCCTAATCAGTATTGTTAGTGCTTAACCCTAATCACTATAGTCAGGGCTCACTCATGTGCCGTATGCATACATATATGCAATTACTTTGTGTAGGCATGACAAGGTATCCAAGGGCGGTTTGAGATATGGAAACTAGCGTTTACCCAAAAGCGCACTAAGCACCATACGTGGAATGCTCGCCAATAAAGAGGAGTTCATTAATATTTTAGATGGAAATCATTTTTCTTGAACTTCTTTATAAGTTCAAACTGCATTTTAAGCTCAGCTAAACTTGCGAACATTGCTTATGAAATTCAAAATTGCTGCTTAGTCTCTAGTTAAAGAGGAGACTTAAAGGTACAAAAACAGACAAAGACAAGAATCCTTACCCTGCCGTAGCTATATAGCTCGACGTTCAGCTGTCAGTTTCTAACTTGTGATGTTCTTCCAGTAGTATCTCCTCTAATCTGCCTCCTAAAATAAAAAAAACCCGCTCAAATCACAGACTGTTGCATGAGTATCAGGCCTTCCTACGGGCTAGGAGAAAGGAGATTTGAGATGATACTAATCAGACCGACACCAAGTGGTCACGCGACACTGCTCAACCAATGAGAAGGCGCGCTTTTGTTTTGGTTCAGATATCAGCAAAACATCAAAATTTTCCAAAATGGCGGACGGAGGCAGACAGAGTATTGTTTCTTTGATTTCGTTTACTATTTATCGTAAGCTTTAATACAGTACTTGTAGTTTCACATTATTTTAAAGAAACATTGGATTTAAGAAAATAAGAGTATTATTAATGGCAAGGAATCGTTCGAACATTCCGGACTGTCACTGATCGCAGAGGTCATGGCTCGTAAGCTGCTCGTAATTGATGGAATCAACATAGCAAAGGCTTCATTGTGAAGAAGAACGTTTATCCCATGCACATGGCTGCTGTGGGTACCACGAGGAGTGGAGGAACGAGTGTCGAAAGCAGAAAGATTGAAGATCTAAGAACATTTAGGATTTGCAAACTTTCTAAGTTTAGGAAAACACGTAGAAACCTCTGTGTGTTGAATGAGAGCATGTCGGCGAAAATGGCACCTCGTGTTTGCTACCTTGTATATTATTATTGTAGATAGAGTGAATTTGAACAAATTACTGCAAATTATCACGCAACTTCGTTGGAGCAATAAGGACAACAACAATTAACTGTAGAGTAAGTTTTATTGATCTTAATTTAGGGAAGGTACGTTTTTTCTTGGGGGGGGGGGGGGGGG